TACCCGAGTCGAAAAATTGGGACTCATTTTATCCTCAAATGAACTATTTAGACTCATTTTTTCCTCATTTAGACGTTTTTAATCTCAGATACCTCAATAAGTTTTCATAAGACTCATCACATTGGATTCTAAAAAGTCTCATTTTATTCTCAATGTCTGCAATCCTATGGCAATAGTCCTCAATTTAACCTCAACAAGAAAAGAATGAGACTTTTTGAAGACAAAATGAGGTTTCCTAAATAATCTTTACTCCTCAAAAGTCTCATTTTGTCCTGATACGGGAAAACCGCGGATAAAATGAGACTTTTGAGTCTTGTAGTTTGAAATATCCCTAAAAATTCTATTGAGATCAAATGAGGACAAAATGAGTCCCAATTTTTTGACTCGGGTATATGAACAAATGTTTATGCAGAAATAAGTGATCTTAATTACTAATGTTTACACCTAATTTACGTCGCATAAATTGTAAATTTGTTGTAAACTTTTGGTAAAGAATGTAAAAATAAAACGTCCAACTTTTCAACAACTGACAAACAGTCATCAGTTTTCGGTCACCCTTCAACGTGACAACTTTTCACAGAAATATTAAAAGCGTTGGTGGTTATCCAATATGCCACAGTTCTCAAAAATGGATAAGTGAGTTACAAAAATTTAAGGGATCGTAAATAAAAATATGAAACAGGAGAACACCAGTCAAACACAAATTGGCTTAATAGGCTTCCATCTGCGACAATCTTTTTTAATTTGTGTTGGACCATGAGGTAATGCGGAGCTATGAACCTCGGCGAGTTTGATGGTGGATCACGCTCTATTAAATACCTTGATTGCCAAGGAAGACTAGGCCGGAAGAATATCGTTAATCACGTGTCGCAACTGTGGACTGCCTTCTTCTACTCCCGGAGATGACTGCATCTGTATGTGTGTAAACGTGAATGTGTGTAAAAGACAGAAAGACAGGGAATTGGATAAGCCTAAAGGTTAGAGTGTGTGAAATGGAAACTATCAAGGACCAAGATCCTTATTACATGACGACGACCGCCGAGCCGCGGCGCTATCGGGACGATAAACTGTTATGTTGTGGTATCAAAGGGGATAATGCCACTTACTCCGTCTCGAATTAGCTCGAAGCGATACTGAAGACAATAAGCTATTTATTAAAATCGAACGAGTAGGTTTTCGCCCAATTGGATCTGGAAATAAAAAAAAATCCAGCGCCAGAAGTTCAATTTACCTTCGTTCGTCGAATAAGACAATAATGAAAACAGTTTTTTAGTCGAAAACGTATCAGTTATCAGTATTAGGAGTCATCTGTACTAATTTTTAATTAAGCGAAACTTTAAAATGGAACAATAACGTATTAATACTAGACTTTATTGATGTTGCAATTGCACACGTTGAAGTCGTATGTGCTATATATTTATTATATGTAGCAACTGAGAAATTTCGTTCGAACTTTGATGTTTTGTCGCGCACGAATAACAAAAGACATTCTGTCTTAACTTGTAATTGAAACAAACGCGTTCGCTGTCATACAAACATGCTATCAGGTACCTACTATATAGAAAAATTCACGGTATGTTTTCAAATCTATTTCGCCTTGACGACGTCAGATTCATATGTGCAAATTTTTGGCTTAATTCAGGGAAACGCATTTTAAGACTTATTACTGTACGCTATGAAAGTAGTAAAATTCTTAACCAATAACATATTCCTACACGAAAAAACTGCTGTCATAGTTTGCAATTCCTGTTTTTGCTAGATGGTAGAAAAAGTCTACATCCTCTACAATCTACAAACGAGATCCGATCGCGTCGTCAAAAGATTTTGGAAAAAAATTTGCGTGACACGTCGTACACGCTCCTCCGAGTTTTTTCAAATTTAACCTTCATTATGTTACTGACATCTTTTTTTTTTTTGGAGTCTTGAAGATATTATCGAGCCAAATTTAAGCAGAAACACTTAATTTTTAATTATCCCGACAAAGAGCTATTATATTTATTATCAGTTCAAAGCCTGTAGTACCTAAATTGATATATATATAAGCTGATAAACCTTTTCCATAGTTATAAATCTTTTCTTATCAACAGGTAATATGAAGATTGTTTCAGCGTTACTTTTAGGTAAGGCAGTTAGTTCACTTTTTATTTTTGTTTCTTGTACTTAAGAAAAGTGCAATAACAATAATTTTGCTTTATTTTACTTAAGTCGCTTTCGTGGCTCTAACCTGGAGCTACGGGGAAGCCAGGGAATGTCTCGACTGTTCTTTTATTACTACTCGTTATATTTGTGGTCGCAATACAAAAACCGACAATCTACTTACTTTCAAAAATAATTGTGACTTGGACAGATACAACTGTTTAACTAGAAACGGTGAGTAGTAAAATAAAAAGATAGTAAAGGGAATATATGAAAGGGAATGTGGTTTTAAAAGTAACCAACAAAATGAAATACCATCCCCTAAAAATGTTTTTTTGCAATGACTACAATAAAGTGAAACCTCAATATTTTTTGCAGACTACATATTTGACAGAGATGGCCGTTGTCCTGGTAAGTAGCGAAAAATAACAAAAAAAAAATAATAAATAACGAGTCTAATTGTTATTTTCGTCTAATAAAACTGTAACGATAATAATTGTGCTTCGCTTTACAGGTAGGAGCGATGCCGAATCCCCGAACTCTAATGATAGCGAATCTTCTCCGATAGCCAGTGGTGATGGTCACTAATAGATCAGACGATTTTGAAAACAAATTTGGCTGAAATTTAATACATATGTTCTACATGCATTGAATAAAAATATGTATTGGTTAATATAAATGATTAAATTCACGTAAAATAGTTGTCATTTTTATTAATTTTTTTTCTAAACAAGTATGAGCGCAATGTAACGTCTTATCAACGCTATTTCATGCATTCGTACATTTACAAAAATTATCTGTAGTTTGGTGACAACACTACAGATTACATGAATAAGAGTTTAGCTATACAAAAAAATTAATTAATGGGATTATACATAAAATTGAATAAATATTTATAAAGAAAAAAGTGATCTTAGTTACTAAATGTTTACACCCAATCTACGTTTTTCCCATATCCCTGACAATTTATGTACAAAATTTCGTGATAGCTTTTACCCACGTCTTCGCTAACGTTGATGTCCTAAGTAGGCACGTGTCTAAGATCTTCAAAGTCCACGTATTCCTCAGGAACAGTATTGTCCTTCTGGATCAAAGGTGCCCTAATATGTCTTTCCTCTATCCCTGACAATGCTGATTGGATAGAGTGGTTAAGGCGTGACATCGTATTAAACAAACAATCTCACATTTGCATTTGTAATATTAGTTAGGATTATTGACGTCACAAAATCCTTAACCTATGACGTATTCCTACACGACAAAACTGCTGGAATAACTGCTGCCAAAGTTTGGAATTCCTGTTTTTGCTAGATGGTAGAGAAAAGCTACATTCTCTACAATCTACAAACGAGATCCGATCGCGTCGTCAAAAGATTTTGGAAAAAAGTTTGCGTGACATGTCGTACACCCTCCTCCGAGTTTTTTCAAATTTAACCTTCATTATGTAACTGGCAACATCTTGTTTTTTTTTTGGGAGTGTTTAGGATAACATCTAGCCAAATTTAAACAGAAACACTTAACTTTAAATTCTGCAGACCAAGTGCTATTGTATTTGTTATCAGTTCAAAGTCTGAAGTACCTAAATTGGTATATATAAGAAGGTAAATTATTGTCACTGTTACAAATCTTTTCTTATTAACAAGTAGTATGAAGATTATTTCAACGTTACTTTTAGGTAAGGCAGTTAGTTCACTTTTTACTTTTGTTTCTTGAACCTAACAAAAATGCAACGTCAAAAATTTTGCTTTATTTAATTAAGTCGCTTTCATGGCTCTATCTTGGAGCTGCGGGGAAGCCCAAAAGTGTACGGACTGTTCTTCTTTTGCTTATCGTCCTATTTGTGGTCGTAATACAAAAACCGGCAATCTACTTGATTTCAATAATCTTTGTGAGATGGACAGATACAAATGTTTGACTGGAAACGGTGAGTAGTAAAATAAAAAGATAGTGAAGGGAATATGTGAAAGGGAATACCATCTCCTAAAAATGTTTCTTTGCAATGACTACGGTGAAGTGAAACCTCAATATTTTTTTGCAGACTACAGATTGTACAGTGCTGGCCGTTGTCCTGGTAAGTTGCGAATAATAACAAAAAAATAGTATCTAATAAAAAACGAAACTCATTATTATTTTTGTCTAATAAAACTGTAACGATAATAATTTTGCTTCATTTTACAGGTAAGGACGAGTCTGAATCCGTGAACTCTAATGATACAGAATCTTCTCCGATAGCCAGTGGTGATGGTCACTAATAGATCAGATGATTTTGAAAACAAATTTGGATGAAATTTAATACATGCAGGGAATAAAAATATGTATTATTCAATAAATTATTAAATTTACGTAAAATAGCTGTCATATTTATTAATTTTTTTTCTAAACAAGTATATCTTTAATAGTTACTGATTGAAAATTATCACCAAGTTTTAGCGTTCGTCAGATAAGACAATAATGAAAACATTTTTTTTAGTCAAAAACGTTGCTGCAGTTGTTCCACAGCCCTCTCACCTGTACATGTATCGACCACCAATTACATTCAGATAAAATAGAAACATGAATTATTTTCTTGCTATATGCCAACTTGTTAAATTTGATCATTGAAACGGAATTCTTAACATCGCGATCGTGCACGCGTTCTGATGTCATTCGTGTTGGGTGTTCATGAGATGGGTAAGGTGAAGGTACTTATAGTTACCAGACTACACCTCACACATTTCATCGGAAGGTTATCATTTAATATTTCATTTCGAGCTGGATTTTCATCCACAAGACTTCACAAAATCGAACACGATGAAATGGTCGATCGCATGGAAAAAAATTCGTCAATTTTCTTCGCGAGCAAGTAACCAAAATGCGTGCATCATCGATAAATTCCTCCCCTTTTTGTAAAATAAATAGCAAATCATTCGTTTATCATCATGGGTAGAATAATTTCGTGTTATTTTTCTAAAGGCTTCTTAGTAATTTTTTCTCATTTTTGCGAGACTCATCCCAACGACTTCACTGATATCCAGGACTTTCTACGGAAGGACGTGATATGTGTTAGCTATTAGTCTCTTGAGCTCCTCATTGGACATACGTAATCGTAAAGCTTCAGTCATGTGATAAATTTTCGAGTATAGACTGCTAATAAGTGACGCTACAACGTACTTTTGTTTTTCTTTTCCATTACATCATATAGAGCAGTTATTGCTACTTTAGAATAGACAACTGAATGAACAGGTTTTGATAATGTTTGTTTTTTTTGCAATTGTTTTCTAAACAAAAAGTCGTTGTTAAATGTGTTGTTTCTCCAAACGGTCTTTTGTTTTGTTTTAGGTTTTAAGCACTTGTTTTGCGATATTGCAGTTGTTTCCTTTATTAAAGGAACAATCTGTAATTATTACTGTCGTCGACAAACGTCAAGGATGGATGAAACGGGTGTATTGCCTTTTTAAGTGCTGCAATAACTCAGATTTGCTCATAAAGTTCTACTTTGCATACTGGGCTTGCCATTTGATATTTAGAATTCGTTTTTTTCATCATAATACGTACAAAGGTATATGACTAAATTTAGTAACAAAGTACCTAACGGTATTGTCTAGAATTATTAAACTGTTATACAGTAGATATTTTTTTTACAAGTTTCTGTGTCTTTAACGGCTTAAACAAATCATTTGTAAATCCGCTGGCAGGATTTGCGCTGTCAACAATGAAAAACTGGTTTACCGCAACAGAATTATTAATTATCTGCTTAATAACGTTGACAATGGAATTGTAATTTAACTTCCGAGGCAAAATCATCTGTCATAAATTAAGTGAGCGCTATAATATTAGATAAGGCTCAAAGTGAAACGTATATGTCTACTATAATCCATTTCTCTTGTCAAGTGGACTCATCACTGCTCTTCAAACGTCTCACAAAATAACAAAGAAAATACGAGAAGGGGAAGGAGACAGGAAGACATCCCTGATGGGACCCATATTTTGAAAGGAAACATTTCATCTTTTGTATAAAATATCGAGTACTGTATGGACTTTTTACTTTGCAGGACCCGAATTTTCTCTCAATTTCTTCAATCGTTGAAGTAAATGAGTTCATAGCAATTGCAAAATTTGTTAAGCAATAAATTATTTGCAAATTTTAAGTTTTTCAGTTCACTTTATAATGAACGCAATTTAGCAGGCCTGAATGGTCACGACGGGTAACGGAAGGCCGCGAAAGAAGTGTCGCAAGAATTAAAACAAATGAACAAGGAAACCGTAACCATTTGTTTTGAGGAGGATAAATGAGCAATTTAGACGTAACGCAAGCGAGAAAGCATTAACGTTCGCTTAAGGCGTTTAAGTGTCGTCCTTTTTCTTTGTTTGCACTACTGTGTACTTATACAAGTATAAATGTATACAAAAGTAAAACGCTATCCATTAAATGCGTCCGCAGATTCAGCCGCGCATTTGCAGTGCAACATTCACTAGAGGAAAACATGTATCAACTACATCTGGACTTTATAACTGGCCGCCATCAGTAAAACGCCGGCCGCCGTTTCTACCCTTCTGGAAAGCCGGAAAAATGTTTTCTTACAACTCCTAACTAAACTCTCACATACGATAGGACACTAAGAGCCTCTTACCAAAGACAGGCATCTCAAGTAAAGTCTATTTATACACCTGGGCAAAGACGGCTGTTGAAAAATACGTGGTAGGAATTTTCGTTTCTAATGCAATAACGTCGGGCAGCTCCTGGAAAATATTGTACTTAAGATAAGATATTTTGCTGTCGATCAATTCGTTGTTGGATGATATTTTGGAACGAAACAAAAGAATTAAGTGACATTGTTTTTATTTTGTTTCTGGACAATTAAAAACAACTGCCGGTTGAACATTGTTTCATCTGCATTTCTAGTTTACTTAAAGTTTATCAGGCTGTGTTCTGGTGTAGATGTTGTTTTGTTTTTCTTTTTTCCTTGTTTTTTTTTGCATATGCGATTGGGGCACAGGAGACAACGAAAGTGAATAAAAAAGCAGGAATTCCAACAGATTTCGTCCCCCATAAATACGTCTGAGCTGCTCATGCATGCGAGAATACAGAAACTCGATTTAGTTGTAGGTACTATTTCGCTTGTTCGCGTTTCGCCTCAGTTTTTGACATCGAGACTTATGTGTATGTGTGTATGTGTTCGCCTCTGGGGCCGATGTTCGATTGTCGTAGATTTGTCGTGGCTGATCAGAAACGGCAGGAAATGTTCTTTTGTGGTGTGTCTGTCAAATGTTGGGAAGCGCAAAAAAACCATATCCAATCTCCTTGGCGAAACAACTCTCGTTTTGTCGGGTTGCCATCGAAGAAATTGGATTTCCTACGGACACATATACACTAAGAGAGAGAGAGAGAGACAGAGATAGGTGTACGTTTTCGTCCAATAAAATTACAATATCTTTGTGTGTGTAGGTACATGTATACGAGTACAGCAAACGATATTTTCGGAAATAGGAGAGCAGCCAAATTGCACCCATTTCCGTCTATCCGTTGATGTTTGAGACGGAACCGTAGGAAAACCATCGACATTTTTCTTTTCTTTATAATGGCAAACGTTTAAACGGTTGTACGAAGGGGGTTGAAGGAGAAGATAAAACCCGAAACAATGCCGCTCTAAACTCAAGCAAGGTCTCTTATCGACAAAATGGACCGAACCGTTTGCTTTTATTATGTGCTCCTGGCAGGTTATCGA